CTTACTTTTATCCTGTCTCCATCTTGTACATCAAAATAACAATTCTAGAACCACCAAAACTTTCTATGATATTCTTGTGTCTTTTATCTCAGCTTATCAGATTTAAATACCGTATCGTAACAAATCAAGGTCATCTGTATAAATTATGAAGTTCCTCGACACACAACAACTCATGTGTAATCAGCGTCCATTGAGGTGTTACATAAATATGGTTTAGTAAAGTACATACTTTTATGCTCTGTTAAAAATCATAAACTTTTTGATTGGTATTATTTGAAGTAACTTGTTTTTTCGACTGATGATGACCTCTTGAGGTCAAAACAGGTTTGGCGTTAGTTTCCTTCAAAGTGTAAACAGTTTTTATTTGTATGCATGTTTTATATTCCAATACACTACACGGTATCCAAGGTTTTAAGATTACATTTATAATTCATAATTTATTTTATTCTTCTTAGGTCAAAATATTCCCTTGAGTACATTTTTCAATCTAGCTTAAATTTTATTTTTATATAATTTGTTCCCAAAACGTAAGTAACCACTTTTCACATCCATGCAAAACATTGGATAAATTATTGGTTTGTATAGATTTCAACTAAGTGGTTTAGAAATTGGAGAGGAAAAATATCAGTTTAAAGAGAAGTTGACTGTGCATTTGGGACGCTGCGGTGTGTAGTGTTGGAGGCAGTAAGCATCCCTGAAACGTCGGTAACTTCTACCAGACTACACGGAACAACATCCCAGACAACCGCCCTTTTCAAACTCGCCGGCTTCAGAATCTAAAATCCAACGGTTTTGCTCAAATAACTTCTTAACTTCTGGCTTATTTGATGACACGCTGTTAATTGTCATGTTCCAGTAGTAAATAAATTGTCGATTTAAGAGTATGACAGGAGGTGAGAGACCGTTGCTTCTTGGAATAGAATAATCAGACATTATCCTGGAACAACGCATTTTCCTGGGGCAATAAAAAACAGCTCGTCTTCCAGCAAAAAAACTGGAACCTCGGTCTTCTGTATAGGAAGGTTTACTAGAACGGGAAGTATCGATGTTCATTTTGTGATCTATGTGCTAGCCACAGGACGAAGGAGAGTAGCTCTTGAAGTAGCGGAATACTTTATACACCGACCCTGTGAAACTAACTGGCTCTCGAGGACACTTTATGTCACATGCGCAGAAGCATCTAAAACCAGACTCTTCACCGTTTGTGCTATTAACTTTATTAGGCCTGCTGCATTAATCTCTGGGTATACAAGGGATAAAATGTAATTCACAAGCCAGCTGGGTGCTTCGTCAAAAGTACAAACTCATTTTTGTGAAAGAGCATTTACTGACTGTTTAATAATGATTTTTTATGTCGGACACTGCAACCGACATGACTCGACCGACCGCACCCTTGTTATATAAGAGAAAATGTCTTTTGTTATCGAGTATACAAACTGTACGGAATTGAACAACCTACAGGCCTAACAGGATTTGGATACAGGAGGAGGGATTTCATAAGAAACTTTGTGAAAAATTTGATTCAACTAACTGAAACAATCTTTTTCTCCATGGTTTGTTTAATTAGCGTACTTACTTCTATTTATTTTTTGCCAGTTTTTACCAACAGCTAGTTGAAGTTATTCCACACGACAAGTCTGTTGCAGTAACAACCAACAAATACACTTTCTAACTTCATGTAATAGAATACTTTTAGAGAAGTCGACAGTCGCTCAACTTTTTAAGAAATTCTCCGCTATTTATGCGACCCGAAGGTTCATTACCGTGTTCATAAAAGTATGCCAATAGACCCTATTCTGGCCAGACAAATTCCGTCCACTACTTGACAACTTATTTAGAGTTCATTGCGATATTAACGTGCCGTTTAGGGCCGAATATCTAAAGCGAAACTTTCCCTTCAAGTGTGTATAAGCTAGTGGTTCTTCAATTGATACAGTAAGTCAAATATTGTGTCTGAAATATATTAAAAGGGCCAAACAGCTGTTCCTTGTCTTTCAATGGCGTTTTCCGAAATCATAGAAAATATACAACCAAACTTTTACCGAAACTTGTGGTCGAATATCTAACTGGCATGTTTCGTAGGATTTGAAGTTTTCACGGTTGTCATTCCGAAGATGGTTGTCTTCTGGGTTGTAGCGCCATGTAGTCTGGTAGAAGTTCACCGATGTTTCAGAAGTCAGGACGATGTGTGACACATCTCCCTGATGATGGAGGCAGTAAGGATTTCTGAAACGTAGGCAAACGCGTACCAGACTACATGGCTCTATAACCTTGAAGCCAGCGATCTTAGATGTGCTTTGATTGGTACTCCGGAGGTCCGAGGTCCGGAGTACGAATCTTGGCTTGGATACAGGTTTTCTTTGGTGAACATCACTATATAAATCTACCAGTTCTTTCAAAAGCAATTTTAATTCATAATTCATATATTTTCCTATCATTGCATTCCATACGTGTTACGTAGTAAAAAAAGGAATTAATTAACAGAATAATTAACTAAGGATTCTGACTTCCTATTTGTATGTATCGGTGTTATGACTGAATTTTGAACTCTTAACTTTGCAGTTACTCGGTTATGTGTATGAAGATAAAATCAATAAATGGAACTGGAGCTGTGTG